TCTGCTTGGTGCCCTTGCTCCTATTTTCTGGATGACTTTCCACCACAGGCTCCAGAGGGAACATATGACCCAGGCTTGGTGGGTCAGATTTAATGATTACATTAAGGATGAAACCATGACCCAAATCTACCCAAAGGGCATCATCCCTGGGACTTTTGCAGGAACCGTTAAGAAAGGCACTGTCTGAGTTGGGCCATGGTGGCATGAGTCTGTAAGTCTAGTACCCTGGGAAGCTGAGGCAGGATGATCACAAGTTTGAGCCCAGCCTGGGTAACTTAGGGACTTAGTGAAACTGACTCTCAAAACATAAAAACCGGGCTAGTGAGATGGCTCAGTGGTCTAAAGCACCTACTTAGAACAAGTTTAGCAAAGCACAGGGGCCGCAGTTCAATCCCCCAGCACCACATGCCAGCCAGCCCCGCCCCCTGGTGGGCTGAGCTGGCCACACACACACACAAATAAATAAATTAAAAAAAAAAAACAAAATACAAATCACTGGGGTGGGGGCCGGGGAGATGGCTCAGTGGAATAAGCACTTCCCTAGCAAGCACAAGGGTCTGAGTTCAATCCCCGGTTGGTAAAAAAAACAAACCAAAAAACAAAAAAAACCACTGGGGTGAAGTTCAGTGCAGAGGTCCTCAGTTCAATCCCCAGTACTCAGGGGTGGCAGATGAAAGCCTCTCTCTGGCCATCAGAGCTGCTGAGCTGGCAGGATGTGGGACTGAAGTGCTGGGGGCCTGTTTCTAGCAGTGATGGAGGGTGTGCCTAAGAATAAGAGTTGGCACTGAGGAAAACAGCAGCACTGAGGGATGGAGAGAGTACAAGAGACATCCGTGGGTACCTAGATCTGGCCTGATCTAGCATCATCTGAAGCTGTTAACTGTTTCAGGTAAATCATCCTTCTTTGTTCTTAAACTAGTTTAACCTGAAGTGACAGTCTCTCCAAATTACCTGGTTTCCAAGTACTGATCATTTTCATCAGTTGCAAGGGATGTGGGTAAAACCTGAACTGACCTTCTTTTCCCCAATCTCTGAGCAAGACATAGTGTGGTTCCAAGGTCCTCACTGATCCTTCTGAAATGATGCTCCTTGCACAATATCCCCAGTGTCTGGCCTCCTGAGTTCTGCCCATGCTCCCAGTAAGCGCTTATTCTACTGAGCCATGTCCCCAGCCTCATAGGCAAGCATCTGGAGTCACTGTGATCCCCCAGAATCCCCAAGTCATCCTTTTCTCCTCCCACTGGGAAGGAGGTCAGGGCTGCTGGCTTTGGATTCAAGACACCTTCTACTTCCTATCTCTCTCTCTTCTCTCTCTCTCTCTCTCTCTCTCTCTCTCTCTCTCTCTCCCCTTCCTGAGTGACCCGGGGCCAGATGCTCTAGTCCCTGGCCTCAGCTCTTTACCAAGAAGGCTGCTTGGAGAGTTGAGAATTGTGTGTGCCTTACGTGTGTACCAAGGCCATGTGGGGCCCAGCTCTGAGGAGGCAGTGACAGCATCATCAGTTCTGGTGAAACAGTCCCTCACCCTCCACCGCCTCTCTCCCTGCTGACTCCAAATGAGCTCAAGCCGGTGGGAGCTGGAAAAAGCCCCTCCCTTGCCTGCTGTCTCTCCAGTTGCCCACTCAGCTCCCTGCCATGGGCTCTGCCCCCTCGGTTGGGGGCACTGTACTCTCCAAGGGTGTTAATGGTCTCCCTGCCTGGCACAAGGACATTCATTTTCCATTCGCTGTAGCCTCCACCCGCACAGCCTTGTACCCCACTTTGGGAACACAGTGATCTTTGCAGCCCTCTGCTGACAGGGATGGGAGGGGACAGAAGGGAAAGGCTGGGTGATTCAATGGGTAGCATCTTGACCTTGGCAGTGCCAGATACTAGTCATTCCAGGTGGGTGGCTCTGGACAGGTCATTTTTCCTCTCCAAGCCTCGGTTTCCCCATCTGAAACATGATTTCCAATAACATCCCTCTTGTCAGGCATGGCGGTAAACAACTGTAATCTCAGCATTTGGGAGGCTGAGGAAGGAGGACTGCTGTGAATTTGAGGCCAGCCCAGGCTACAAAGTGAGTTTAAAGGTAGCCTGAACTAAATGGTGAGACCCTGCCTCAAACAAACAAACAAAAACACCCCAACATGACTCCTGCCAGGCATGATGGCACACACCTGTAATTCTTGCCGCTCAGTAATCTGAGGCAAGAGGATTAGCAGTTCAAGGCCAGCCTGGTCAATTTAACAAGACTGTCTTAAAACTTTAAAAAGGGGTGGGGATGTAGCTAGTGCTAGAGTGCCCCTGGGTTTAATCCCCTGCACCACACAAAGGAATCACTTTTAAAGAGAGGCTGATTAAATGTCAAGTGGTTGCTTTGTTTCAGTATACAGAATTCAGGGTTAGGTAGCCAGTCAGATTCTTTTTTATGGTATTGGAGAATAAACCTACAGCTTTTACACTGAACAACATCCCCACACAGCCCTTTTCAAAATTCTGAGACAAGATCTTCCTAAATTGCTAAATTCCCCAGACTAGACTTGAACTTGCTATCCTCCTGCCTCAGCCTCGTGAGTGCTGAGATGGCAGGCCTGCACCACCATGCACAGCTTTTAGTTTTGTTTGAGACAGAGTCTTTACTATTCAGTTCAGGTTGGGCTTGAATTTACAATCCTCCTGTTCCAGTCTCCTAAATACTGGGATTACAGGCATGTGCCACCACACCTCGCTTTCTTTACCCTATCTTTGTGTAGCCTCCTGCCACTGACTTCTCTGGTCCTTTGGCAGCCACTTCTCACTTCCTTCCTCCACCCTTGTCCTGGCCTGCTCCATTGACCTCCTCTTGGCCCACCACAGGCAAGCCTCTTAAAAGCTGTCTGCACTCTCTCCTTCCGCATCCTTCACCCTCCTCCCCTTGTTCCTCTTTAACCCTGGCAGCCGCCCCAGCTCTCAGCTAAACTGATCTGGCAAATGTCACCTTGTTGCAAAATACCATGGGGACTCCTCAGCCTTATCTGCCTGGTTGACATTGTTGGCAACTTCTGGAAACACTCTTGCCCTGCCCGCTTCCCTGCCCTGGAGCTCCCTGGAGGCTGTCATCCTCCCGACAGGCGGTGCCTGCTGCTTTCCTGCCCAGTGCTTCAGTGCTAGCGTTCCAGGCCTCTCAATGTTCTGTGCCGAGGCCTTAGCTGTTCTCACACTGGATTTGGTCCATATTTATTATTTTTAAAATAGGATTTTAAAAAAGAAGCAGTTGCCAATATTAAAATTTAAGTTCTCACATAAAAATCTGAACCTCTTAGCTGTGGATAAACTGGCAGATCTGGCTGCACAGTCTGGCATTTCCACATGAGGCTTTGGTTCAGAACAGATTTTGAAAGGTTCCCTGCAGCAGGAACTGCCACTGGCCTCTGGACTCCTGCCCGCTTATATCCATGGGAATTGAGGATGGACTGAGAGGGCTTCATGGTTTAAGAGAAGTGGAAAAGTTCACTGTCTTGTGAAGTGAAAGACAGTGTTTAACATGTTTAGGGTGTCTGGGTTGAAAGAAAGCCACATGGTACCTGCTTTACTCCTTAAGTCACCTACCTGGACCCTGTTCCTCAGCTCTCCCCAGGAATCAATTATAAGCGTTTATGTTGAGAACCCTGAATTGAATCTGAGGTGAATCTAGAATTTTCAGCTGCTTCCTGACTTTGTCTCCTAACTGTCCCATAGGCACCTGAGTCATCCATTGAGCAAACACATTTTTAGGTACCCACTGTATCCCAGGCACTGTTCTAAACTCTGGCAGGATAGCATGGAAATAAAACACAAATCCCTGTATTTGTTTTTCAAGGATCCAAGACAGAATACAACCAATACCCTCAAGGATTTGTGTGTGCGTGTGCTCACACTGAGGACTGAACCCACACCTCTCGCATGCTAGGGAAAGGGTTTTATTACTGACCACACCTCTAGCCCCAGTCCAGTGATGTGCTGAAAAGGCCAACAAATGAGTCTAAGGTCCTCATTCCAGGGACACTCAAAGGACAGGGGGCCATAATGCAGCATTGTCCGGGCTTCCTAGTTTGGAGTCTTCTCTGAAGCCTCTTTCCAGGCCAGGATTGAGAAAGGAGAGATGACAGTTCCTTTAGGGTGGTGGAGGGCATTATGGGAAGCCCCTGTAAATGACGGGGCCATCTCAAAGCATCTAGTCGTCCAGGTACCAGACATCAGGCACTTCTCAGATGGATGCTAGCTGGCAAATGGGGCTCAGTGGTCCCAGTCTCACGATAGTGCCTTCAGCTTTATGCCTGGTTTCTAGTCTGGCTTACTGCTCAGAGGCTGTGGGACTGTGGTCAGGTTTCTCAGCCTTTCTGAGCTACATCTAGAACATGACTAACTGCAGATACCTGCGATAATCATAAGACCAGGTAAGTAATGTCTGGCACATATTAGATGCCTAATGAAGTTGTCCTTCTCCCTATCCCTTGTCCTCTGGGCCCTCACTCTGAGCTCCTGGGACCTACCACTGGCTCCCATCTCTGCTAGCCCCTGGACCCTGTTTCCACCTTTCTTCCCAATTTTCTCATGTACTTTGTTCACTGCCCTCTGGGCCTCTTTCTACAACACAACTCTTTTTACTACTTTAAACCTGCCCCTCTCTGAGGAATAGTCCCAGATCCTATCCTGGTTTCCCAGACCCTCTCCAGCTCTACCTTCTATTCCATTCTCAGGCACCCAGCTGATGGACTGTAGATAGCACCCCTGGGCCTCACATTGGCTGTCTTTGCCTCATCTCTCTGGATCTACTCCCAGCTCTTCTACTCCAGCCTCCAGAGCCAGACCAGACCAGTGGCTCTCCTCACATCAGGCGCTAGATCCACCTTGAGGCCCTCCTTGTGTTCCCTCCTCGTGACTGTGTGCCTTCCATGTCTGCATGAGGAGGACCATGAAGAATGGCCAGCCTCAACAAAACCATCTTTACCCCCACCTGCTTCAGGTCCCACCCTGTCATATGCATGACGGGAAGCACAGTCCACAACTGGATACAGGTTTATTGTGGCACTAAAGGTGAATAGGGGCCAGTATGGCCAGCACCAGAGTGAGACAGTGGGGGGTAGGGGAGAGGGAGTGAAGAGGTGGGACAGTGTCCAGGGAACCCCAGGCTTCAGCCAGGAGTTGGGGTTGGGTCAACCACTGCTAGCCCCAGCAGAAATGTTGGGGTGACTCCAGACCCTTCACCCTTCAGGCTGGGTGGGGACAGAGCAATAGTGGGCAGGAGGGGCTCACACATGAGAGAAGGCATGGCTCTTGCAAAGGGGCTTGTCCTTCTTGGAATAGAAAGTCTTCCCTTCCAGATTGATCTGACATATCTGGGGACAGGAAAGGTCCAGTCACATGAGGTTGTTGACAGCAGGAGAGATACCTACCCAAACTCTTATGCATCCCACAGGCAGGAGAGAACAGAAGGCTGTGGGACAGTGCTCAGGTGTGAGGGGCGGGGTTCTCACCGCACAAACGAAGCACGTGTCATGCCAGCTGAAGCCTAGTGCTTCCAGGAAGCGGTCCCCAGCATCGATCTTGAAGTCACAACCACGGCATTTTGTGCCAAACATCTTATAATCTGGGGGCAGAGGTAGAGAAGGGAGCCTGGATTAATCCTGCCTTTCTCCTAGCCCTTTCTTCCTCTCCCTGGGCCTTCTCAGGCCTGTACCTCGCTCGCAGTATGGCACTCCTTCCTCCATATAGAAGGCCCCTTCACGAATGGGCATCTTGCAGACCGTGCAGGTAAAGCAGTGCACATGCCAGGTCATCTTCAGGGCGTGCATGATCTCCTGAGAGAAGGCAGCAGTCACTTGTCAGGCTCAACCCCCTCCACCAGGACACAGGAAGCTGGCCTTGGGCCCTCCTTCTCCTCCTGGTAAACATTACGTGTATGCACCCACAACTGTGGCCAACTGGGTCTCCATATAGATGTTAGCCCCTCAGACTTGCCATGCCCCACACTCAGCTCCCAATCTCTACACTGCAAACTTGCTCCTCCCAGAGTAGATGGTGACTCTAGCCTTCTGCCTGCTCAGGCCCGATTTCCCTCTTTTACCTACATCCCATATCAAGTCTACTAGTGAATCCTCTAGGATCTACTGTCAAGACACATCCCTCTCCCATCGGTATCGCTGACATGAGCTACAGCTATCTCTAGCCAGAGTGACTGCACAAAAACTGACATAAGTGTTCCCACCTCTGCCCTGCCAAGAGCTCTCATCCTGGCATCAGTGACACTCTTCAACCCACAGCAGTCCATAGCCCTTGCTCAGAACCCTGCAGGTCTGGCCTATCCCCCACCGCACCCCATAGTTCTCCTCTCACGTTCTTATGTTGAGGCCTCTAGCCTATCTCTGAAATGCCAGAAACAGTGCTGGTGCTTTGGTGCTTTACACTAGCTGTCCCCTCTGTCTGGTAACTCTTGCACAAATCTCATGGCTCCTCTGGTCCCTCACCTTTAAGTTTCTGCTGCACAAACATCCCTGTCCCACATGGGCCACTTACACACCAGTACATTTTCTAGCCTGCCATCCCTTGCCATGCGCCTGGCACCTTTCACTCTGCTCCTAACATCTTGCTAACATGTATCACATAACTTAATTGTGCTTCCTGCTTACGGTTTCTCCTCCACTTCAGCTACGTCTTGGGGCCAGGAGGGCATAAAACACTGGGGCCAGGAGGGCATAAAACACTGCGTGCTGTATTCACCGGGTTGCCCCTGGCCCATACTTTCTCCTCATCCAGCAGTGGGAGCTGACTTACCCTGGCTCCCCCAGAGGTGGGAGGAAGCAGAGGTTTATGAGATGGGCTCTTGCTAGGGCTGGGCTCTTATAGGACAGCATGGGGTGACTTGGCTAATTTTACCTTGTTTGTAGACATAGTTGTTTCCTTGTGAACTGGCCCTTAAGGGCTGCTTAAGAATGGTCCCTCATTTGAGGCCAGGGGTCACAGATTCAATTAGTACAAGGGCCAGGTTGGGACTGTTGTGGAGGAAATCTTCTGTTTAACTTCTACGGGAAGCATTGGCTATTCATTCAGGGATGCCTACGTGTCTCTGGTTGAAACCTAGGTGTGGAAGCGGAATCTTTGCTTTATATATTTTTCTCTCCTCTTTTGGCAGTGCTGAGGATCAAACCTAGTATCTCAAGAATGCTACACAGGGGCCGGGGAGTTAGCTCAGTAGAATAAGTGCTTGGGCCTGAGTGCAATCCCTGGTTCTGAAAAAAAAAAAAAAAGAATGCTATGCAAGTGCTTTAACACTGTGCTACATTCCTAACCCTATTTTTTAAAATGATGGCCACTGATTTAGAAACACCAAGTATGGCCAAGCAAGATTACAAATGTAGTTGACGCTCACATGGCTTGTTGGTGCCTTCTACATCTATATCACATCTCGTGTGCACCTCAAAATTGTGCTGGCCAGGAATTACAGACGCCCAGGGAAAGAGACCTGTTCCAGGCCACACAGCCAACAGAAGTTGGAAATGGGTTTTGTTTTCCTACCTGGCTGGCTCCAGTATTGGCTCTTTCCACACTACCTGCTGACTTGGGCTTCTGTCTGGTGGGAGACAGAGCTTCTGCAGGGATGGGGTGCCCAGGGCTGGAGCTCAGAACTGGGAGCAGGTTTCTGCCAGTATTTACTACAGCCTGTGGGCCAGTTATCAATCTGTTCCTGCCTGCCTGGGTATCCTAAATCTGCTGCTGCTGGCATTTCTAGTGCCCTGGCCCAGGCCCCAGCAGCCTCAAATTCCCTGGCTTTCGCTCTACCTTCTTCCACCCTGCCCCCAAGGAAACTTTCTGAGGTGCACCTGACCACCTCAGTCACCCAGCTCCAAATTTGAACTGGGCCTCTGCCCGCTTCTCCTAACACTTTCTGCAACATAAGCTATTCCCTCTGCTTATATCTTCTCTGAGCAAATTCCTACTCATGTTCAAGTTCCACTTGGAGGCCACTTCCACCCACTTGTTCAAGTGTTTACTGACTAGTTCTTATGTGGGACACATAAGTGCTTGATGCAAATTGCCCTGTTCTCAGCCTATGAGTTTTCACCTGGGGAAGGAAGACGAGCAAAGGACTGAGATGCAGGAGACAACTGGGGGTGCAGGGGGAGGGAGGGGCTTGCCTGGTGGGTATCAGGGAAGGTGTTCCTGAAGACGTGATAGTTCAGTCCCAGGTAAAAGGTAAAAAGGACGCAAAGGATGTGCAAAGGCCCTGTGGTAAAGGGAATAGACTTCACTGGTAAAATAGAAAGGGTTACATGGCTGTAGTATGAATGAGAAGGGCTGGTATGCCTACATTTGAAAGTACAGGGTCCTGAGATGACCCCCAGATTGGGCAAGGCCTCTGCTACTGTTCTTCCATGTCTCCCAAAGCTTCCTGCCAAGCCTGCTAAAACAATATGACTCCGCTGTGCTCCAACCCCAAGATGCAAGGGCACGCAGGCTCCCCAGTGGGCATGAGTAGTGCACATGGCCAGCAGCAGGGAACATTTCCAAGCAACTACTGGATAGTGAGAGCCCCTAATGGAACACCTGTCAGATTGCTGAGGCCAGACTCCTGCCCTCCTGGGAGGTGAGATAAGGGCTCTTTGGGGTCTGTCCAGAGCTGGGCCGCCTGGGGAAGTATCAGCTTGACCTTAGGGGGAAGCACACTTTCCCACCCTCACTGTTCTTCAGGGCCCAGGAGTTGGCAGGGCCTCCTGAGCCTCTGAGCCTCCTCTCCATGGTGTAAGTACAAACCCTGCCCTGTTCACAAGATTCATCCCCACTGATAAGAATAGCATGATAACATGCCTGGCATGGTGGTGCAGTTGGGAAACTGAGGCAGGAGGACTGACTAGCCTGGGTTATAAAGGGAGCTTAAGGCCAGTCTGAACTGCATAGGGAGACCCTGTCTCAAAGACAAAAAACCAAACCAAACCAAACAAACACAAAAACATACCCCCAAATCTTGTTGAAACAATGCTACTAGTGCTGATGTAGCTCAGCAGAGTGTATGCTTAGTATGTGCAAGGCCCTGGGTTTGATCTCCAGTACTCTTTCCCCAAAACAGAACGCTGTTTGCCTTCCTCTCCTACCTGGAATAAGACAGGCTGGGCCTTGGACTTTAACAGCCATCTGGCAACCATGACACAATAAGGTTAGAAACGAAGGTCTACAATGCTAATGATTCTAAGGCAACAAGTGAGAAAAGGCCTAGAGCCAAAGGCACTCTTATTTTTTTTTAGCTGCTGTTCCAATCTTAGAATTCCTAGGATTGAAATAAATAACCTTCTCTATTTAAATCTCTTGCCAAGTGCAGTCCTAGTTGGTACAGCAGCCATCTCTTGGCCTGCACAGCATTCTCTTTTTTCTTTTTGTGGTACAGGGGATGGAATCCAGGGGTGCTCTACCGCTAATCTATCCATACCCCATCCCTCAAGGCAGGCACCACAGGCATTTGCCATTGTGTCCAGCATAGCACTTCCCTTCTTAGAATTCATTGTGGTTTTAAAGGACTACTCATCCCTTGCTCTCATTTGTGGCTGAGGTAGGGCCATTTTACCCCAGGTCCAGGGGTGAATGTAACTCAAGGATGCCAATCAATCAGTCACTGATTTCAGATCATATGGGCCTGTGACAACCCAAGGTAGGCCAGGCACAATGGTAGCACTGGGAATTCTGACACACCAGCTGGGACAGAGGTGCTCTCTAGTTTGATGAGGTGATTGAACTGTGGAGGTACTAAGGTACTATCTTCATCACCTTCCAGGGAAAAGCATCCTGGGAAATGAAGCCAACACGAGTGAAAACAGGCAAGGGAGAGTCCTGATAACCACAGTATCTATTCAGCAGGGCCTGAAGTCAGTGTCTTGGGCTATCCAGTTATTATAATCAATATATTTCTGATTTGTTTTTTCCAGTGCTGGGATGAAACCCAGGGCCTTGTGCATGCTAAGCAAGTGCTCTACCTCTGAGCTGTACCCCAGCCTATTAGATTATATACAATCTGAAAAGCTCAAGCAGAGAGAACCCCAGATTTAGAGTTTGCCTTCCTGACTGGTCATCCACCAGCCAGCCCCACTCACGCCTGTGATTGTCTTCTTGCACTTGGCACAGCTGGGTGCGCAGTGCACATCATGGCAGTGGGGGCAAAAGATAGCCCCCTTCTCCTCGAAGAAGCCGCCCTCTTCCAGAATCTTTCCACACTGGCTACACACAAACTCCTCTGGGTGGTATGCATGGCCCAGGGCCACCAGGTATCGGCCCCTGGGGGAGACAACAGAGGGAACATATGCAGATGAGGCAGGAGTTCCAAGATGGGCTTAGGAAGTCACGTGCCAGGGTAACACAGAAGAGTGATGAAGCTTAAAGGGGGGGGGGGCAGTTTATCACACTGCACTGTTTCGCTGACAGGAGAGTTTAGTCAGGCGAACTGAATGGGACCTGATGCCTTGAACTTAATGAGACATCCGGGAGGGACTGTGCCCTGGGAAAAAGGAGGCCAGCATGCTGCTGAACACGAGAGCAGATCCTGTCCTGTCCATCTGGCCTGGGGCAGAACCTGCAGCTCTGACATGCAGAAAGGATGGGAAGGGACAAGCTCTTCTTTGTCCAGAGAGCAGTGAGTCTAGCAATATAGCTTCAGGGTGATGCCAAAATGGAAGCTTCCTCCATTTCACTCCATTTCAGCAGAGAAAACTTTGCTAGAGCTCTGTGTGGGTAGAATAGAGGAGAGAGGTGCATAAAGTGGGATTAAGAATGTGAAGATCCAGGTCCCAGGGAGATAGCTCAGTAGAATAAGCGCTTGCTTGGCAAGCACATGGTCCTGAGTTCAATCCCTGATACTGAAGAAGAAAAAAAAAAAAAAAAGAATCTGAAGATCCAGGCCAGGTCCCCACCCACCTCCCACTGGGAACTGAACCCTCACTCTCTCCCAGCAGTAGCAGCTTAGGCAAGATGGGTGGGTAGGGCAGAAAAGGCCAGAGTAGGGAGGGGAGAGGCCACCCACCGGATGACTTTGTGGCACTGGTGGCACACAGGAGTCTTGCCATTGTTGGCTCCTCCGGTGCCCCCTCCAGCAGCGGCCTGCACGATGGAGGTGCGGTTCTGCAGAGGCGTGGGTGTGGCAGGCTGGCTGTGCCGGGTCAGCACTGTGCTTGTTTTGTCCGGGGCATAGCGCTCAGCAAATGCAGGGTCCACAGCCCAAGGTGGGCGGCTGGTGGGGCTAGGGGTGGCGGGGCCTGCTAGGGCCAAAGAACATGGTTTCAGTAGGGGTACCCAGGAACCCCAAAGGGTGGAGGGCAAAACCTGGGGCTGTGTAAAGGGACCCACAACCCCCATGTCCCTCGTGTCTCCTACCCCTCCCCAGGTCAAGTCCATTTTCTCACCAGGCCAGGGCTCCTGGGGTGTTGCTGAGGCTGGGGCTGGGGCTTTTGTCCTGGGCACCTGGCTGTAAGATCTGCCATTTAAGGTGCTGCATGGCTGAGGCTCCTGGCATGCCCCCCTGCCCCCAACCTCAGTCCTGCCAGCCCCACGGGAGATGTCTGGGTGCATGATAACTGCTGGGCTGCACTCTGGGTCCCTCTGGGGTAGGCATAGGAAGGGCTGCTTCTCACAGCTAGGTTCCAGTTATCTGATCTGCTATATAGGACTGGGAGGTGGAGCAGAGCTCCCACTCCTGGCATGACTCTTGGGGTTCCTCACATCCCAAAGAGCCACTGAGGCAAGATGGAGCCCTCCCACTAAGGCGGAGACAGGGAGGCCCACACTGATTCTGAACCATCAAACACCTCCCATGCCCAAAATGCAAACCAGGTCCACAAAGATAGAAGACAGAGGCAGAGAAAGCAGGTTGAGAAGAATGTTTATTTCCATGCTTGAAGCAGCACAGCCCTGGCACACAGCAGTATCATAGGGCAAGAAGAGAAGGTAGTGACAGATGAAGGCAGGCCCTGTGCCAGCTGGGCTGTGGGGGTCAGTCCAGCAGGAGGCTCAGGCCAGGTGCAGAAAAGGGGTAGGTGAGGTAGGCAGAAGCTGGAGTGCCTTGGGCAGGAGGAACAGAGAGAGAGGCAGAGAGGGCAGCCTGCCGCATAGGTGGGCTATGACTGCACGTTGAGCACGTGGGCAGAGCGCTGGTGGTGCCAGTCCCGGAGGCGGGTGTAGCGTGGGCTCTGTAGCTCCAGGACATACTTTTCCCTGAGGGGCAGAGAGAGAAGGAAAAGGAAGTAAAAGGAAGGAGAGATACAAGAGAGGAAGGGAGGGAGGATGGGAGGGAGGATTGAAGGAAGGAAGAAAGGAAGCAAAGAAAGAATAAAGCATCTGGCTGGGGAGGGCCAGGAGCAGACAAAGGGGCAGTGGCTGGGATGGAGGAGGCAGGGGTGAGTAGGAGCCTTTTACCTTGATTTCTTCAGATGTTCCTCATCCGGGTCTTGCACTGGGAGGGCAGAGATAGGCATTGACCAAGAGAAAGGAGGGTCAACCTGGTCTTTGAGTCCCCAGAGGGTCAGGCCTAGGCCAGGGCTGGAACTTACTGAACTCGGTGCCTGTGAGGTGGGCAAGGATCCGGAAGGAGCGAGACTGGCCAGTCCCAGGCCGTGGCCGCCAGTCCTCTGTATTCTCCATCAGCCGCTGCTTGCTGGCATTCGGGACCAGCAGTCGGAGCGGCTGTCTGTGGGGAGGTAGGGAGCTCAGAACCTCACACTGCTGTGGGCAGTGGGGGCAGCCCCTCCCAGGGTTTGTACCCATGGGTTATGATGGCAGGTGAGAGGGGTGAGACCAAGGGCCCTGCTTGGGGTGGGGGTTGGAAGGTAAGTGAGAGAGGGCAACCAGGGTGAAGAGGGGCCACCACCCAGAGTGCTGAAAGGAAGGAGAAAAGGAACAGGCAGAGGGGGCTCACTGACTTGTCAGGGGTCTGCACCTGTGAAGGAAACAGACAGATGGACAGATAAAGGGACAGACACGCGCAGAGGAAGAAAGATGGGGAAGGGTTGCACAAGAGTAGGGGTATACAAGGCAGCAGAGTATCTGGGGCTCCGCTGGCTCAAAGTCACACCTCAATCCCAGACCGCCGGAGGGGTGGGGCGGGGGGGGGGGAGTTGGCTCCTTCAGAGCCCCCCCCCAGGACAGGACAGTGCCTTCTCAGGAACAAAATCCATGGGAGGGGCCCTGTGCCTGCAGCCCCCGCCCCGCCCGCCAGGGGTCGCTGCCGCACGGTTCCTGCCCGGCTGGGGCTTAGCACAGAGGGAGGGAGCAGCAGTGCGCAGCGGGCTCAGGGCCAAAAAAGGACTGGACAGCGTGGGCAGGCAGGGGCTGACGTACCCATTCTGATGCGGGGCGCTGTCAGCGGGCAAGGGTGCCCCAAAGGGCCGGGCCGTCTTGTTGAGGGAGGCGCTGGGTGCAAAGGTGTACCGCGGGGGGTCCGCGGCGGGGGCCTGGGCCTGGGCCTGGGCGGAGACAGAGCCGGGAAGGGGCAGGGCGGGAGGGGGTGGGGACCTGGGTAGGAGTGGGGCGCCCCCCAAACGACAGCAGCAGCTCCAGCTCCGCCCCCACACATCTGGCCGAAGGCAATGGGGAAGGGGGCGACTCAGGTTTCAAGGGGCCCGGACAGCGATGATCTCAGCCTCCAGGGCCAAGGGAGGAGAGTGTGGGCGGGCAGACAGGCGCACGCAGCACAGGCCGGTAGGAAGGAGGCAGGCGGACAGACAGGCAGACAAGCGTGTGCCCAGACCGTGCGGCAGCCCCCAGGTCCACTACCAGTTCTCCAGACCCTGCCATTCTGGCATCTAGCCTCAGTTTGCGACCAGGATGTAAGTACCAAGGCCGTACCAGGGAGCGCAGGTCAATTCAGAAGTTCAAGCCCGTCCCACCCACAGCCCAGTGTTGGGGGGCCTCAGCCTACCTTCTGTGGTTTGCTCTGAACTGGCTGGGGCCTGGAGAAGGGAAAGCCGCAATGGTAGGTCAGGCCAGATGACCCCCACCCCACTCCATCCCCGCCTGGCCAGGACCCTCACCTGCTGAGACCCAGGCTAAGGCGCTCCCCGCATGCACGGATCTTGTTCTGAGCTTCAATGTGCGTGAGGCTGCCTGTGTTCTCGCCTTCGATGCTCAGCACCCAGTCACCCACTGCCACGCCAGCCTGCGCAGCTTTACCTCCAGGTGTGAGCTGCAGTGAAAGAAAGAACAATTCTGCCACTCAAACTGAAGCTAATGTTAGTCAACGCTGCCTACCCTATTCTGCCCCATTTCTAGGATCCAGTCATTTTTCTGGGTAGCTGTTGGATAGGAAAGTGAACCCGGAGGAGTGGTGCTTGCTGAAGCCACACAACTCCCATCACACCATGCCCCTCCCTCATAGCCCAGATACTGCTAAGACCTTAACAGCCACCCTCAGGCTAAAACCCAAACTTCTGGCCAATGACCACAGCCTTTCAGGCCCTGCTGGCCTCCTGCCCAGACTAGTCCATCTACCAGATATGCCCTCTAGCTTGTATGTGGCAGCTTCTTTTTTGGCACGTTAGGTGCACTCATTGACCTCTTTCCCTGCCAGCACCCAGTCCTGTCCTCTGCAGGAATCTGTCAGGGCCCCACTAAGAAACAGGAATAAGGGCGTGCTATTGCCAAGTTCCCTGTGAGTGGTACCTGAACAGGGCCCAGGTAGGTGTCAGCTGGAGCTCCATAGGCTGTAAATGAGTGTTGCTCTAATGTTCCCCGATCCTTTGGGCTCTGAGTTGGGAATCCCTAGTTTGTGGGGCAAATGCAGGGCCAGCACAGCTGGGTGGAGTGGTGGCTACCTGCCCAGCTGCATTAGCAGATGATTTCTGAGCAACAGTGAGCCTCAGTCAAGGAGAATGGAGGCCAGATGCTAAGAGAGGCCACTTGGCTAGGCCTCAAATACTTTGCAAAGGAAGCAAGCTTCTGCCCTGAGTGTAAAGGAGCCACCAGTGGTTTCCAGGCCTGGGATGAGTTATTTCCAGGATCTTGCTAAAGCTGACCCTGACAAAGCCTATTGGGTCTACGTAGCTCAACCTGGGAAATAGGCATGGCATTGAGCAGCCCTAGTTCATTTATTTTTCTTTTTTTGTGGTACTGGGGATTGAACTCAGAGCCTTGTGCATGCTAGGCAAGCACTCTACCACTGAGCTACATTCCCAGCCCAAGCCTACTTTATATCTCACAGGTGGTGGTGGAAATGGGAGGGTACAGGCTGCCCGAGGCCCTGAGAGGTTCCTCAGGTCAGTTGGTGCATAGTTTGCTGAGGCAGAAAGAGGGGCACCAAGGGGTTCTAGAGAGAGGCTGGAAGGCAGAGGGACCCACACTGAGGCAAAATGGAGAGCTGGGTTTGACAGCTCTACTTCATACTTTTAAGGGATGTTAAGGGATATTCAAAAAGAGTTGCAGGCCCCTTCTTCACCTGCTAAATGGTAAAGACAGTAGTAAGTATAGTATTTTACATTTACTGAGCACATACTGCCACTGAATCCTGCTTATAACCAGCTCTGTGGAGGAGTCTGGACTTATACCCATTTCAGAGGTAGGAAAACAGACTTAGCACTTTACTTCAAGTCATACAAGAGGCAGTGCTTAGATTGGATCCTGATCCTAAAGCTGAATGGTGGTGCCAATATACCTAGAAAGACTCCTTGAGCCCCTGGCTGGGTTTGGAGCCTGGATCCCTGTCATTCCTTCACTTCAATGCACACTTCAACTCACCCCTTATAATGGGCACAGGAAAGTGACATCGTTGAAAGGAAGTGACTTATTGAAGCTCGTGGTGAGTCAGTAAAAGGGAAACCTGGATCAGCCACTCCCTGCTTCTTGGAAGGTGTGAGCTGAGCCCAAGGTGAGGGTCTTCGGGTAGGGAGGAGTAGCGGGCTCCTAGGAAAAGGAGTGTGTGTACTGGGGTGAGAGATTACTTTATTCCCTGGAGTAAGGAAGGCAGGAAGCACATGAAGAGTAGGGCAGTGACCAAAGAGATAGAAAAGCACAGGCTTGCTCTTAGGAAGGTGGCTACAGGGACAAGCTGGGAGGATCTGGGGCTGGGGCAGGAGTAGACACAGGGATTAAGAAGGGGACAAGCCAGGGGGCTGGACACTGTTCAGATAGGGGTGAGTCAGCCTGAGGGATTCACTGAGCTGCCCAACCCCCAAGCCCCAGACATTACCTCATCTCCCCGGCTGGGCCTACAGCCAACCTTAGCCCCTCCCTTCTCCCTCCACTCTGGGGTCAGGGGAGGGATAGGGGGCTAGCCCAGCTCAGGAAAGACCACCTACCCACCCACAGATCCACCCATCCTGGCCTAGATCCAACTCCAGGGCTGGGCTCAACTGGTGGCCCCACCCATAGGATGGGGCCAAAGACAAGGAGCATAGGTCCAGAGTGCCCCCAACAGGCCACATCTGAAAGCTTGTTCTCATCAATGTTTTAAGAAACAAAGGCTAAAGCCAGTCCTATAATCCTAGAACTCTGAGGCTGAGGAAGGATTGCTTCAACTTTGAGGCCAGCCTAGGCTACATAGTGAGTTCAAGGCCAGTCCAAACTGTATAGTGAAACACTGTCTCCAAAAAGGCAAAAAGGGGGAAAAAAAAAAAATACAGGGTAGGCCTGAAGATTGTATAGAGGATATGGATGAGTACAGGAAGCACAGCTCTCAGTTATCTTGCTCCAGGGCAGGTGCCAGGAGGAAACTGCGGAAGGATCCCTGAGACCACAGCCTGACTGCTTGTCCTATCCATCAAGCCCAATTTCCAGTCTGCCATGTAGGCCCTCTCAGGTCAAGAGGTGCCTGAAAAACCTGGTCTCCTCCAGGATGGGCTTGCCCTGAGCTTCCTGCAAATAGCAGCCTGCCCACTAGGTGGCTGGTGGGACTTCTGAGGCAGAGGGGTGTGGAGACAGGAAGTCCTGGCCTCCTGACTGATAGGCCAGTCGGGATACCTACCGTAGCTACTCTGATTAGGTAATTTGCTTTGAGTCCCACATCTAGACCCTACACAGCACTGTAGCCTGATGTCAAGTGAAGGATGAATCCAGTGATGGGGTTCAAGGTTCCAGGCCTTGGCCCACTCTTTCAGGCTCTGCATTCTAGTCACTGTTGGGCTAGAGCTGCATTTTTGGGCTTATAAGGCAATACCCCAGCCACAGGGAGGAGTCAGGCCCCAGCTCCACCCCAACCCCAGGACAGACAGCCAGGAATTGGGATTCAGAAGCCCAGAACCCCACCTTCCTAGAGTTCTGCTTAAGGTCAAAGGCCACCACATCCTGAATGAGAACAAGGATGTGGATGTTCCTATGAGAAAGAGAACCCATTCTCTAACCTCCAAAAAGTACCAGCCATGCTACACCTTAATTCAAATCCCTGCTTTGCTATGGACTTTCTGAATCAGCTTCCCTACCTCTCTAAATTGTCTCATTTGGGAAAAAGAAAAAAAAAGATGACTACTGCTATTCCATGGCTGGCAGCAACGCTGAAGATCCTACAAAGTGCCCTGCCTGGTGCCTAGCTCCACACATTACTCCTTCAAACTCAGATACTTCCTGGAGACCTGAGACAGAGAGCCCCCACCTCTACACCAAGACCCTCAGGGTTGGCCACCAGAGCTTGGCGGAATGGTCTCAGGTACAGTATACTGCCAGGAGGTTTGGGGGCTCCTCTGCCAGTGTGCACCTAACTGGGAGTCCCTGTGGCACGTGTCATTACATTTCTGAACCTGGATACCTCCTGGCCTGCTGGCTTGTTCCTGCTCAGGTTCCTCTGATCACCCGGTGAAGTCCTGAGCACCCACAACCCCTGAGGGTGTCTGTATCCCAACCTAGGCTCACCCGGGAGATGGAGAGGGGAACATTGAAGTCCTTGCCCCCTTGCAGCCGGAAGCCCCAAGGTGCTGGCCCCTCCAGCACTACTTTGAAGGAATCCATGGTGCCTGCTCCTAGGAGGAAAAAAAAAAGAGACAGTGAATGGCGGGCACTGCAGTGAGGCCCCAAGGATGGACAGCGAGGCCTTGTCCATCCTTGGACAGGTGCCAACCAGGCACGCATGAGCAGATGCTAAGAATACCTAAGGTGAGCGAGTTATCTAGTCAGTTTTGGCTGGGCTGCTAGTTGGCAGACCTCACTTAGAGAGCCAAAGGCAGCCCCCTCAGGGACTGGAAGGTGAGGGGAGCTCTCATTCCGGCTCTGGGCTCTTCAGCCAGGGGAACCAATCCGGTAGGGCCTCCCCCAAGCCAGGCTGGAGTCTGGAAGGCAGGGTGAGTCAGGGGCCGGCTCTTCTCTCCCCCGCCCCCAGGTCCCGGCAGGCAGGCAGGCCGCGGCTGGAGCCTGCTCGGACTATATAAGGCGTGTAAACTGACACTGCAGAGAGCTTGCAGAGGGAACACACGGGGGCTCAGGAGGCGAGGGGGAGGGGTGGGGAAAGAGGCTGCTGGAGCGGGTCCTAGCCCTTACGGGTGGTAAAGGCTGCTGGGAACCGGGGCGGGACCCCTGGGCGCCGAAGTGCCGGGTGGGGGAAGCGGAGTGGGGCGCCGCCTCTGCGGAAATCGGCAAGGGCCGCGACCCCAAGGCGTGGCCAGGAAGGAGATCTATCCTATCATCCAGTGGGGGTAGTGCCACTCTTGTAGGACTGCTCTCGCCCCGACGTGACTCAGTTTACCGCTAGTCCCCATTCCCAGGCCAGGTCCCGGCTGTAAGCAGCGCAGGCGCCAATCGGCCTCGCTACGTTCGACTTTGCTGCAGGAAGGCGGGGGCGGAGGCAGGGGGTAGAGCTCGCGGGAGTAAGCACAGCACTGGGCACGACCCTCAATGCCCTCATCGCCCTCGGCAGGCCCGCGGCCGCCGCCTGTCCAGCCCCAAACGCCCCGCACAGTCGCCTGTACCTGCTTGGCCCCGCCGGGGCACTGCTCCGCGGCGATCTCCAAGCAGCCGCGTTGAGATACGCCGCCCTTGCTCTGGCCCCGCCTCCGCGGACGCGGTGGGCTTTGAGTCCACGGGAAGGGGTGGGGCTTGGGACCACGCCTTCCTCATGACCACGCCCATAAGGTGCCGCTTTGTCGGCGGGAAGCCACACCCAATTCTTCCGTCCCACCCAATCACCGGTACCCATTTCTCTCAGAGCTGGGCGGCACTACACTCCCTCATCTTCAGGGGAGCAGAGGGGTCGAGGAGGGAACGGGTGGGGCCGGGCCTGCGCTGGGAAAGCTGCACCCGCCTGTGGCTCGCGCAGTCCCCTGCGCCTCCCGCTGGCGGAGTGGAAGGAAAGTGGTGCTTTGAAATCCGCTAGGCTCGAACTTATCTCTTAAGTTTTTTCCTCAGAAAAATGGGACAATATGGTGACATCCTTTACTCAGGATGTAAGGGGTCGGAATGGCAGGCGCAGCCATCAGAGAAGAGACTACTGAATTTCTAAATCTGAGCCAAACAGGGATGGGGAAAGTTGAAGGAGACTGGAGTTTCAGGTGAGGTTTGCAGGGGCTGGACGTGTATCTCAGTGGTAAAACACATACTTAGAAGTGTGAGGTCTTGGCTTTAGTCCCTAGCGCGCGCACATACACCTTTGCAGAACTCTGCCAAAGTCAGAGAGGAAACACACACACCCTCCAAAGCAGCAGCAGGAGCAAATAGAACTGTAGGGAGCCCTTAGCCTGCCCTGAGCCTGGCATTGTGGGCAGGCCCCTTCTCCCCCCCCAACCAGGCACAGCGTGCAGCCAGCATCCCTGAATCCCCTGCCCAACGCCAGGATGGACTGTGTCCCTTTATGGCCCACTCCAGGATCTATAAGGAGGACTGCGGTTGGCGTTTCCCTCAGATTCCTCACCATTTTCCCAGCTTCAAGTTGGGTAGCTAAGGTAGATGGAGGAGGTTGCGGGGAGTGTTCATTCCTGTCTGGATGAGTGAGGAGGGGTCCGCCCCTCTAGCTGAATGACCCTGTCCCCTCATGGTCGTTGCTGTTCTCCTCTCCACTGTCCACATTCACCCTGCATCATTTTCCTCATTATCCAAACTCCTGCAATTGACATCTTTGAAGCCAGCCTCTCTAATTGTCTCTCTGGCTTCTTGTTTCTACTTGCTTTTCTCCTCCTCTCTCGTCCACACCAGTCAAGCTCTTGTCCACACCAGTCCTTGGCGCGCTGCCTTCTCAAGGTCTCCATCAAGTTACTGGGGGCCCTTAGCTTTCATACTATCTGTCTAGGAGTCCTGCTTGCCCAAGTTGACTACTTCCTTTTTGGAATCACCATTTATCCCTGACTTCCTGCCTTCTGCTTTACTGGGCTCTCTTCCACTGCCCCAGGCCGTCCCTCATCTGCCTCTTGTCTTGACCATTTTATCTCTGTGCTCACACCTTGAGCCCCATCCTCTCCTGTGACTTCCAAAATCACTTCTATGCTAAGGACTGTTGAGTTATGCAGATGGCCCTGATCTTGCCCCCTACTGGGAATTCCAGTATTTAGTAGTCGGTCTGGATGTCTACTAGATATATGGAACCAATGTCCCAAGTCAGTCTTGTGATTTCTTCAACTCTCTCAACTCAGTCAGTGGCACCACCAACCATTGAACTAGCTCAGCAGAAAATATAAAGTTATCCCTTTTTCATTTCTTTTTTCTTTCCTTCTTCTTCTTCTTCTTCCTCTTCTTCTTCTTCTTCTTCTTCTTCTTCTTCTTCTTCTTCTTCTTCTTTTTTTTTTTTTAGAATCGGGGATTGAACTCAGGCCCTGGCATTTACCAGGGAAGCGCTTATTCCACTGAGCCATCTCCCCAGCTCCAACCATCTCCCCGGCCTCCCTTTTTCATTTCTATTGTCTCCAAGATATTGTAAATTTTATTTTCAATTTGAGAAGGATTTTTTTTTCTTTTTTCTTTCTTTCTTTCTTTCTTTCTTTTTTTTTTTTTTTTCTTTTTTTTTTTTTTTTTTTTTTTTTTTTTTTTGGCTACTTCAGGCTGTCTTAAGGGCGGGTCTGGTGCAGCTTCTGGAGCTTGGACTCGAACCTTGGACTGATGTGCCTGACTGCAATTGCCCAGGTGGAGCTTTAAATAACTGAGCTATCCAGTGAGCCCCCCCAGATTTTATCTTCAAAATGTTTTCACAGGGGCTGGGTAGATAGCTCAGTAGAATAAGCACTTGCCTGCCAAGCACAAGGTCCTGAGTTCAATCCCCAGTTCTGAAAAAAAGAAATGTTTTGACATCTAATTACTGCTGTCAGCATGTGTCTGAACCACTGTTATGTCATGCCTGTACATCTGTAATGGTTTCCTATCAGGTTTTCCGCTATCATCTTCATCTCCTTTTCAATCTTCTTCATGCAGCAGCCAAATTGATGTTTTAAAAACAGAAATTACATCTCAAGATAAACACATAGAAAGAAATCACACCTCAGCTTTTAGAACTGCACTTAAGACTAAAATCCCTAAACCAGGCATGGTGGTGCATGCCTGCAATCACAGCACTT